CGCGGGGCTTGTTGCCCCCAGCCGCCTGCGGGCCCGCCGGCGGCGGGGAGCCCCGTCCCCGCGGGCTGCGCGCACCGCTGGCTTAAAGGCTTTATGTCTCTTCGAACGGCGGACATGAGCTTCGGCTGCGCAGGGTGCGTGGTGGCACTCCCAGGGGCTTCTCGTGCCTCTGGTTCAGGCCAGCACCCTCTCTGCAACCTGAGCTGACGTTCCTTGTGCGAAGATCGAGACTCAACCTTGCGCTCACGCTTTCCGTTTTCCCGACTGCAGTTTAAGCAACATCATGGGGATTCAGGGCCTACTCCAGTTTATCAAGGAGGCTGCTGAGCCTACCCACGTGAAGAAATACAAAGGGCAGACGGTAGCTGTGGACACCTACTGTTGGCTGCACAAAGGCGCTTATGCTTGTGCTGAAAAGCTGGCCCGAGGAGAGCCAACAGATCTGTAAGTCTTTGTTGCATTTCGGCCTCGGCCCTCTGACAAGTTAAAGTTTTGTTAGCTTGACATTTCTTGAGCTAAAAACTAAGTCAAAGCAGTTTCACTTTGTACTTTTGCTTCTGAATTCTCAGTCCCAGTTGTACTTTTTGGAAATGGAAACGTTGGCTATAAGTAAATAGCTTTCCAACTGTGCAAAATAAATACTGAAGTATATATTGGGGGGGGGAAAACTCTCTAAAATATTTTCTATTAAAACACCAACGGTTAGGTGAGTTTGTTTTTTTCCAGCGTGTCTCGCTCTCAATTATAATCTAATCTCTCTGATGAGATTCTGTAGATGCAATTCATACGCTTAAAATTTAGTATCATTTTCAGGAACCTTATTTGTACAAAGTAATAGTTTGTAAATACTGCTGTGACAAAAGTTGTGATGATACTGAGGAATTCTGATAGATGTGTTGTGCTCTGAATAAGGTGTACGTTTTTTTGCTTAACACTATATTTTTAGTAAGAGTAGCTTTTCTAATGTAACATGGATTTTTCACTTACACAGTTATATTTCTAAGGAAGGAAACAAACAGAAATTGTGGTTGTATTTCAAGTTCAGCTTTGGAGCTTAGGTCAGATTTGCATAAGTTCTTGCCCATCTCTGGAAAATGGGGTTGAACTCTTGTTTTAGATTGGATATAGTTTTAAATGAAGATTAATCTTCATCTTTTCAGAAATAAAGCTATGCTGATTAGTCTAGATCAAACTTCACTTATGAAATTTTGATTAAATGTTTGATTGGAGGCAAGAAAGAGTTGGTGGTCCACAAATGGGTTCAAATCTGTAACTCCTGCTTCTGTTGATATGAAGAACTGTAGAGTTTCATCCAACCCTGCTACCTGCCTTTGGAGGTGGTGGAGATCCCTCAGAGTCCTGAGAACAGGATGCACCCCAGTTGAGAAAGAAATTGACTGACAGGAAAAACATTAATAGTCATCGGAAACTTTGGAGTGGTTGAATTTAACTACATGAATATTTTATGACCAAATCTTGTTTCCATGCACATATGATCACTGATCTTAGACTGGCACTTTAACTATAGTGTAGAGAGTCCTTTCACACTTTAAAATTCATCTGAATTGAGGTCTTATATAGCTACAATCCTATTTGCTCCTGTCTTTCAAAAATCACAGTTATTTTTTGGTTATGTTTTGTAGCTCTAAATCCAGTTTCTTCAGTGCTCGTATCCTTAGAGTCTAAGTGCTCCTAAGTCCCACTCTCCTTCCCCTCCCTGCCCCCTGCTAAATGTTGCTCTTGCTGTTTTAAAGTGTCCTTAAAAAAAACAAAACCAAACTTGAGTTTGTTTTTTTTTTCATTGAGCATCATTGTAATGCACTTAGTGTTTACAGCAGCTATTAGATTTTAGTTCTGTGCTGCTGATTGAATGATCTCATACAGATCTGTAGAAATAACATGTAAGGAGATTAGAGGTCCAAGGGAGTACATGAAGTCTGGAATTCCCTACAAATATTTTACTAAGGGACAGTCTTGGAAGGCAGTGGAGGATTGCCTCCTGGTCCATACACCATCTTCACTGTTAGTACAGTTTGGGGAACTCTCCTGTCTTTTGGAATATTTTTGGTACTGTGCCTGTATTTTTAGTAAGGGAAGATATGTTTGCATGTCTGTCCATAGCATGTATCTACCATCCGGAGAAATGAGTGGGTAGTTCCACAAAGAGAGGTTTAGTACCCCATCACTTCTCCAACTCTACAAAAGTGCATTTAGTCTGCCTTTCACAAGGCTTCGGGGAAAGATAATATACTGTGCTCATCTGCCTCCTGTTTCCCTGGCCATTATTAATTGAGTTGCTGAAACTAAAAAGATGATCCATGGTTTAACTTGCAAAGTTTTTGGCAGTGTTGAATCCTAATGTAGCAAAATCAAACTGAATTGTTCTCGAGTTCTTATTTTGTGTAGGAGTAGGGAGCAGTCAGTCCAGTTCTGAGTTGGGAGCTGGTGCATTTCTCTTGTGGTTGGTTGGTTGGTTGGTTTGTTTGTTTGTTTTTAAAAAAGACATTCAAGTGTTCTTACTCTTTATGTGATGCTGGGGAAAAATATATGGCCCATTAAGATCCCTGAACAATAGTTAGTCCTAAACTTACAGTTCTCCTTTCCTGCAAACAGAAAATATGCAATAGACTTGTGCTTAACAATAAAGTTTATCTTTCTTTTCTTACTTTTGTTATTGTTGAAACAGTTATGTAGCTTTCTGTATGAAACTTGTTGATATGCTCCTCTCATTTGGAATTAAACCAATTTTGGTATTTGATGGATGCACCCTACCTTCTAAGAAGGAAGTGGAAAAGGCCCGACGAGAGTAAGTACTGAACTGCATTGATTTGCAAGCAAAGCAGTATGTTTAATACTACAATTCACTTTCAAAGTTGGAAAACCTCAAACTTCAGCTAGGTAGTAATCTCTGGTAACCTTTCCTGCAGTGTAGTGTTATTTCATTTAATTTACATTTAAAAATCATACAGACCTCTTCTTAGAGGTTTTATTCCAAAAATAGAAATGCACTTCATAAATGAAAGCACTTTTATATAGGAAGGAAGTAAACCTCTGAGCATTAGTTCCTGTAACGTATTAAAGGCTTTTAGTTTACCCGCCCTTGAATCTCTGGTAACCTTTCCTGCAGTGTAGTGTTATTTCATTTAATTTACATTTAAAAATCATACAGACCTCTTCTTAGAGGTTTTATTCCAAAAATAGAAATGCACTTCATAAATGAAAGCACTTTTATATAGGAAGGAAGTAAACCTCTGAGCATTAGTTCCTGTAACGTATTAAAGGCTTTTAGTTTACCCGCCCTTGTGATCTCTGGACAAAAATATCTCTTCCCAATATAATTTTATTTTAAAATAACACCACCTTCCTCATCTTTCTCTACAAATAATCAGATAAACTTGTTTCAGGTTTGGATTCAGGTCCCTATATAATGGGACTTCTCACTGATGTGGTGAGAATTTTTCACTAGTGATTTTTATTTATAAATTCTCATGGGACATATGCTGCTTTCAGCATAGGGCAAACAATTTCCGATATTTGAAGTGAAGTAAATGATGCCTTCTGTCCTCTAACCCAATAAGTATCTAATGTCAGATACTCCCAAATTCCATTAAATCTTTTTTACTGCAACCTGGGAGTGGGTGCATCTCTTCTTTTACACTGCTGATTTCAGTTCCTGAGTTGTCACTGTTTTCTGAGAAAACATTATACATTTCAACATGCCAATCTAATTGTCCTTGTCAATACAATGACTTAGTTATTCTTATGTTTTTAAAAAATTATGCAGTAGAACAGATTGGGGAACTGTTCATCTGCAAAACAATTTTTATTTTTTTTTTTTCCCCCCGTTCCTACCTGTCTCTTAGTCCTTTCTGCTACTTGTTCCTTTAAGTGAAAAATAATCTGAGATCTGTGGATATTTTTGTTTATCTTTCAGGAAGCGTCAAGCCAGTCTTCTGAAGGGGAAACAATTGTTGCAGGAAGGGAGACTGTCAGAAGCTAGGGAATGTTTTGGGCGCAGTGTAAATGTTACCCATGTTATGGCTCGTGAAGTTATTAAAGTAAGTTGTCAATCCTGTTGATACTGACAGTTTTTAAAAAAAATCTATGCAGTAGGTAGCACTCTGCTTTTGTATGGCTACATCACTACCTCTTCGATGTAGGCAAGAAAAATATTCCCCCCTCCTTAGTCTCTAATTGTCCTGCATACATTGGATTATGTTAGGCACAGTTAACAAACTTTAGCTTCACTTCAAGTTTATTATACCCAGTTGTATAAATAATGATGATATGTCAATTGAAATACATCTCTTCTTACTGCTAGGAACTGACTTTGATAACACCAACA